TTATGCCTCACAAAAAATTGCCTGCATCAGCTTTGTTAAAATATATGGTTGGACTTTGGCATTATGAGAGTCCATGAAGCTGATTTTCTAAGTCAAATATGTTGTATCCAAAGCCTGCACAACTGTCAGGCCTGTGATCAAACTGTGGCTAAATAAATAAGGTGACAGGAAACAGTTGTGAGCAGTATCTCATCCAGCCCAGTAGGTTAGTAGGTCATTGGCTCCAAAGTTAGTTCATTGAGTCCAGCCCAGTATGGAGATCCTGTGTTTTCTCCCGACGTGGCTCCAGAGCAGCTGACGCTTCCTGCCGGAGACACTCAGAGAGAAGAGAGAGACCGGCAGCAGAGGAGGAACAAGCGAGCGCTGACAGAAATCGTAGCCATATGTGTTTTTCGCGAGGTCATTGCTCTGCATCTGGAGGAGGGCGACTGAATGAATACATCTTCCTACTAATGTAGATTCTCTGGAGGAATGCCAACGCAGCATGGAGAGACACTGACATGTGGGCGCCTGACTTCTCCAGATGTTTTCTGCAGCTGCGTGACCCGCTGCTTTGTGTGCGCTCGTGTGTTTGTGTATCGGCGTCTGCGCTTTTGAGTGGACTGAGAGGATTGTGTCTGTCTCAGCTGATCTTCATTTATAAACAGCAGTAAATCACCTGAGACACTCGTCCCTCTGCTCCCATCCGTAAAATCACAGCAGCCAAATTAAAAAAAGAAAAAGATCTTACATGCAACCATATGGTTTTCCCATGTTTCATATTGAAAGTATTATGTAGAACTTGTGTTTATTAGTATGTTTTAAGACTCAAAAGACTAGGGATTTATTAACGACAATGTCTGCAAAGAGAGTATGCTGCGACAGGCTGACAGAATGACAGCAGGATCACTGATGTGTATTGATTCCTTTATGCTGTTCGGATGGAACCATCAGTCGTGCCTCTTGTTTTCCCAGGGGACTGATTTCTCTGAACGCAAGCGTCAGCTACCTGATAGAGCCTCTTCCTACTTCCGCGGATGCTCAGCAACATGCAGTGTTCAGAGCCGAGAGCCTCCACCTACCCGGGGGTAGCTGCCTCCATCACCATGGCAACAGTGAGCACGAGGACAGGCTTAATGACTTCTTCCATGGAATGATGTCACCGCGGAGGGTGAGTTCAGGCAGGACAAACGGCAACACCCTCCCGGATGTGCTTTGCAAGCTCTGCACTAAGTGTGAGGATGTTAGCCCTGCATTTAATTTCTTTCTGTTGAGCTGCTCTGTTTCCATTTTCAGGAGAAAAGGGAACTAAATCAAAATATGAAGTATGTGGAGCTTCTGATAGTGGCGGACAAGGCCGAGGTGAGGATACAGTTGTGTGACATCAGAAGTGTGAGCGGAATTGATTATCACAAGATCAGGATGGGAAGATGGCATCATTTATAGTTACACTATATATAGTTTTATTTATGCATATGGTATGTTTCTACCTTTTACAGCTGCTAATAAACTTAAATATAAAGAACGTACTCAGGAAATTGCACCTACCATCTGCATTTAGACACAGCTGATGTAAATATAAAGCCCAGATTCACATCCTGTCGTTATTTAAAGTGTGAGAAGTCCCCCTTTTTGGGTAGGCAGGAAAGAAACTGTAGGTGTGTTTGGTTGTCTAACTCTGTGGATTATGTTGCTTGCAGTTTGAGAAGCACGAAAGCGATCTCGAGAAGACCAAACTAAAATTACTAGAAGCTGCCAACTTGGTTGACAAGGTAACATCTGGTGTGAAACGTCAAAACCACACACTGGCTTTCATCACACCTATTTTTAGTCATGACTAATGAATTTCTGCCCTCTGTTTTTGTCCATGCCAACAGTACTACAAGGCTTTGAGTATTCGCGTGGCGTTAATCGGTCTAGAGGTTTGGACCAGCCAGGACATGATCAGCGTGTCTGATAACCCACACGGCACCCTGGCAGCGTTCCTGTCTTGGAGACGCAAACAGCTCCACGCTCTCCCCAACGACAACGCTCAGCTTATCACGTCAGTCACTCTTCTTTCATCTCCCAGTAGCCTTCCCGTTTGTCATTCTTCCCCCTCCTCCTGTTTCCTTTAAACCCCCTCAGTCCCGTGGGGAAGATCGCTCAGTTGGTTCAATCTTCATTGTGTAAGACAATAATGGACACCAGTGGTATCCCAGTGGGCTGTTGTCCAATTGGAACTAATTACAAGTGCTGCTTCTTGTCTCCAGGGGGAGGCCGTTCCAGGGCACCACCATCGGGCTGGCACCTCTCAAAGCCATGTGCTCCGACTACCAGTCTGGCGGAGTGAACACGGTGAGAGACGTAAACAAACAGTAATTCTCCTTCATGTGCATGTTGAGCTTTTTGTGTAAATCAAGATAGTCTGTCCAGCAAGAATTATCCACTTGCAATCTGATAGTTAGTGGAAATATGGTCACATAAGGCTGTTTAATTTAGGTTTTTGGATTTTTTAAAATTCCTTTACCACATGAGTGTGCATCTTATGATAGCAAAATGCATTGATTTGTTCTAATTTTAAAGTCATCTTTAGGACTCACCTCACTCCTCTGTTGAACAGGACCACTCAGATTTAGCAGTCGGTGTTGCTGCCACCATGGCACACGAGATGGGCCACAACTTCGGTATGAGTCACGACATTGCAGGCTGCTGCCAGGCGAAAGCAGAAGACGGAGGCTGTATTATGGCTGCTGCTACTGGGTAATATACACTAATTCAGGGATGCATGATATATCGGCGACCACATCGGTATCGGCCGATATTAGTGTTTTTTTTCCCATATATCGGTATCGGTCTGATGAACAAATTTAGCAGGTGACTGTCTAACACAGGGGTGTCGAATCCTGGTCCTCGAGGGCCGCAATCCTGCATGTTTTAGATGTTTCCCTCTTCCAACACACCTGATTCAAATGATCAGCTCATCATCAAGCTCTGCAGAAGCCTGATAATGATCCTGATTATTTGAATCAGGTGTGTTGGAAGAGGGAAACATCTAAAACATGCAGGATTGCGGCCCTCGAGGACCAGGATTCGACACCCGTGGTCTAACATTAGCGCCTTCGTCTCTACATTTGATACTGCTGCTATTTCACAGATGTTTTTACATGGTTCTGGACTTGAATGTTAAATTTATTCAAATATGATTTACTTTTGTTACGTAATAAGAAGACTATGTGATCTAATTTGGTATGGGCTTCTTTTGAATAGTTTTCACGTTCTCACAGTGCTTATTTATACTCATTTTTCAGTGTGAACAAAAATTGAAGATTGACATTGGTAATATCGGTTATCAGCGATATCAGAAATCTAAGTATCGGATATCGGTATCGTCCAGAAATTTTAATATCGAGCATCCCTACACTAATTCCTTGCATGAAGATAATTACAGTCTCAAGATAAACTATGAATCTGAAACATGAAATTTGACTTGATTTGATTCATATCAGTGATCCTTCCCTTCCTCTGCTCAGGCATCCATTTCCACGCCTCTTTAATGCTTGTAACATGAAGGAGCTGAAGAGCTACCTGAGCTCCGGAGGAGGCAAGTGTCTCTTCAACTTGCCAAACACCAGAGCCATGTACGGAGGGCAGCGCTGCGGTAACGGCTACCTGGAGGATGGAGAAGAATGTGACTGTGGAGAAGAAGAGGTCAGTGTTTGTCTGTGTGCAGTGTTTGGCTGTTTTTATCAGGACTCTACACTCTACCGCTCTGTCTGTACAGGAGTGCACCAGTCCCTGCTGCAACGCCAACAACTGCACCCTGAAAGCCGGAGCTGAGTGCGCCCATGGAGTCTGCTGTCAGGACTGCAAGGTAGAATCTGATGTTGGCGCTCATGCAGACAAAAATCACCAAAATCCTACCTCCTATAAATCTCCTGTGCCTGTCCTAACCAGGAGATTGTTTGTCTGCTTCTGTTTTAAATAGAATAAGGCACACTGTTACCTTTACTTGATCTAACTGTAATTAACTCAGTCTGATATATTGCACTTGTGGGACAATAGCAACACTAAAGTAACAATTATTTTTGGCAATATGTTTTCCTGACATAAAAATGAAACCATCTGGGCTGATATAGTGCTAAATCACCCCACACCAACCTTTAACGCTCCTTTTTTTACATAATAAACAGGAATACAATACTTCCTTTTCTCTCCCCCTCTCCTGCTCTCTCGCTGTGAAGCTGAAGAGCCCAGGTGTGCTGTGCCGCGCTCCCTCGGGGCCGTGTGACCTGCCCGAGTACTGTGACGGAAAGGCAGAGTCTTGTCCTGCTAACTTTTACTTGGTGGACGGCTCAGCGTGTGCAGGTGGGCAGGCGTACTGCTACACCGGCATGTGTCTGACCCTGGAGCAGCAGTGTCGCTCCCTCTGGGGACGAGGTGGGTAAACTGGATGCACAACAGCTGCAAATCTGTGGCTCCAAAATGGGATATAACCTCCATTTGTATTCACATGTGGCATATATTTTGTACTATAGGTAGGTAGGTAGTATACTTAGCTTCAGGTTTATTGGGTATGTCTGTCCTTACCTGCACCATATATTAGCGTTATTGGTAACATATATATATATAATGTTGACCATTGAACAGTTTCACATTACATTTTCCAAGCTGTTAAATTCTCATTGGCTCAAATGCAGACTGAGTGAAAACTCTGCTGCTGTATTTTGAATATTTGACAAACTGCACATCATTCATTAGCACAAAACCTCACGATTAAAGCCACGTAAACGCTTTTAGGACACCAAGACCTCGGCAAAAATAGTTCCTCACTTTGTAGTAAAAATGTCTGCATGGAAAAACCGTAGCTTCCTACCTTTTCTGTCACGCTCATACTTGTTGAATTACTGTGTGCTGCCCACTGTTCTGGAGTCCAATGAGCAAAATGCCTCCAAGCCTTTAGTCTTCTTGGTAAAAACGGGGGTGAATGTTAAAGGGGTTAAATAGTCAGCGTTTGAAGCAGAGAGCCTGGATGGAGTTAAAGACGAGTCCTCAGTGGCTCACAGGATTAGGGATTGTTATTGGACAGCGTCCATATTCATGGTGCGACCGAGCTTTCCTGGAGAGCCTTTGTAGTACCTCAGGAGCCACATAGAACCATAAGGGATGCCATCTGGTCTCCATCAGGTGGTCACATAACACACTGTGCATGCATTCATGTGTGTGTGTTACTGTGTGTGGATGCATTTATATATTTCTTTGCATTTTCTTTCTTCAAACCACAGATGGCCGTCCGGCCCCTGACCTGTGCTTTAAGAAGGTAAACGAAGCCGGAGACATGTACGGGAACTGTGGCAAAGATCTGCAGGGAAAATACAGGAGCTGCAAGGAGAGGTGACGACCAGAACTCTCAGACACGCTCTCTGTTCACTTGTATTTACTTCTCCCTCATTTCAAGTGCGTCTGTATTTCCTTACGTGGCAGGGATGCTACATGTGGGAAGATCCAGTGTTTGGCTTCTGCCGCTAAGCCCATTGAGAACAACGCAGTTCGCATAGAAACCACAGTCAGTGTGGGCAGCAGGAAATTCCAATGTCTGGGGACGCACGTGTACAAGCTTGGCCAGGGGGACGAGGAGCCACAGACCGACACTCTGGATCCAGGCCTGGTTATGACGGGCACCAAGTGTGGTGTGGACTCGGTGAGAGAATTCTCAGAGAAGATTTTAGAAGCATCTTTTTCATTTGCAAGCCTTTGTAATTAACATGAAGTAAATTCTGCTGCTCCTGTGAAGACGATTGATGATGTTTCCACTGGACGCTGACTAAGTTATGCTTCTCTGACCACTTCTCTAACGTCCTTCCTCTTATATTAACAGATTTGCTTTAACGGAGAGTGCCGCAATGCATCTTTTCTGAGAGCCGATGAGTGCAACGCCAAGTGCCACGGACATGGAGTGAGTTGTGTCGCAGCAGGGATGTTACTGTGACGGATTTCTCTGGACTTGTGGGAATGATTTGGCTGCTCGCCTGCAGTTATGGAAAGCTGGCAGCCTAAGCAGTGGTGCACGATCTAATAAAATCACTTGCCTAATTAAAAATAGAAACAAAAAGATCTAAAAATACCACAGCACAAATCACAGTCTGACATTTAAAAACCTTGCTTAAGGAGCATTATCAGCAAAATGTAGTTAAAGCAACGAGTAAAAGTGCCTTTTGTGCAGCAGGAAAATATTTACAGCGTTGCTCTTTAATCTAAATACAAAATGTAGCAGCAAAAACTGAAGAATTGCACCTAAGTACGAGGCCTAAGTGCCTCTGTGGTGCATTTAGTTGTGCGCCTGCATGACAGTGTGAAAAACACAAACCTAGATATTGTCATTTTAATGGTAATATATCCAAAATGTTCCACCAGCTCTGTTCTTCTCTTTCTAGCTGTGCAACAACAACCACAACTGCCACTGTGACCCGGGCTGGGCTCCTCCCCGGTGTGACCAGAAGGGGTCAGGAGGGAGCGTGGACAGTGGACCCGTCATCAGCCACAGTGAGACTCGTTTCTATGCAACAACTTGACAGATTCCCCTTTAAGAGTCACTCAGTTTTCTGACTCGTGTTTATTTTTATTCCCAAAGGCAGTCTCCTTCCAGTCCTGCTCGTTCTGCCTCTGGCTCTCTTTGTGCTTTTGGCTGCTGTTGGACTTTGGTGCTGCTACCGACACAAACTGCGCCCACTGAAAGCATCTGCTCCACCGCCAGTGCCAAAGTCAGTCATTCTAAGGCTCTGAACACTAATAATAAATATGAATGTTGGGGCTTTACTTCTGTGTCTAACTCTGTTTTAATCCTCAGCTGTTCGGTACCTATTGAGGGAAAGCCTCTGTACACAGACGATAATGTCAACGGTCACACCAACCCAACATTCTTACTGAAGAAACAAGATTCGGACAACCTGGTAATGAAGCCCACTCAGTGCACTACACAGGTGATGATGCGACTACAGTGTAAGGTCATTCAATTTCATGTTTGCGCTCTCCTACAGGGGAAGTCCTCTCCTCGCCCGAGCCCGTCCTGCCCAGCTCGGCCCAGACACGCCATCGTCCGTCCAGCAGTGAAGCCTCCTCCGATACCAGCATATGCTGCCGAGCAAAAAGAGAAAACGCCGCCGCCCGCAGCTCCTACTCAGAGACAATACTCTCCTCAGGATTACACTCCTTCTCCTTTAAAGTCTGCCCAGGCTTCTCCTCCTCCTCCTTCAGGACCTTCCCTGGATTCCAAAAACCAGCCACAGCCTTCAGCAATACCCAAACACCGACCGGACCCCCCAAGCAGACCTCCACCGCCTTGTCCTGTCAACAGACCATCAGGGGTGAATGCATTTTGGATATATTTTTATGTAAAGACAGAAACCAGCAAAATGTCTAACTTGTCATTTTTCTGTAGGAACAGCAACATGTGAAAGGCCTGCAGGTGACCGCTAACGCCCTGCAGAAAGGAAAAGCAGCTTTGGCTCCATCTGCTGGACAGAAAAAGCCAAACAGGTAAATTATTTGGCATTTATGTTTTGGTCCCCCTGATGTCTAGCTACAGAAACTCCTCAGTAACTTCTCTTTTTCTTCTTTCTAGAGCCTAAGCTTAGAGCTCAGGGAGGCACTGGGGACCACCACTTACATCCAATAATGCACTGCCTCACGCTGTCGTTTCAGCAGCTAGCTGCAAAACTGTGGCACTGTGGAATAAGATGAATACTTGACACTGTATTTACACTGATGTGCATTGTGGGGAAAATTATACGATTACCGCAAGCTACACAACGATCACAATGAGCATGTTGTAAGTCTAAGATTTAGGCTTCATCAGTGTTTTGTAAAATAGCCTTACATGTGTCGCGCTTTATTCACTTGAAGCAGCCAGAGCTGTGAATTTTTTTCTTATTTTATCGTCTGAGATATCGATGGAAATGTGAAAATGTTCGACAGCAGTGTTGATGCACTGCTCCGGGAGTATTTATTCGCAAAGCAAAGAAAAATGAATGTTTACAGTGCAGCCTATGTACCAAACACGGTGCCTCTTAAAGCGCATCAGCTATAAAGGGATATCTTATATTAAGAAAAGATGCCAGTAGTGAAGTTTCTTACGCTTCTTGTGTGTGAATAAAAATGGGATAGTAATGGGTTGGAACTGGACTAACGGTAACCAGTGAAAGCCCTTAAACGCATGCTGTAAGTATACGCTTATTGATGAGGGAAACGTGTCTGATGTGTAGCAGGAGATGTGAGGGATTTTTTTCAGTTTATACGATTTTTATTTTCATTATTTTTTTATTGTGGTGTTGCACTTGTAACAGTCATTTAGTGGCCTAAAGGTGGCTGTTAAAAAATCATATTGTCTTCACACAAAGTACCTACTAGGAGGAAGATTAAAGTGTCTTTTCTTAGTTCTCTCGCTGGCAAATCAATGATGAAATTTTCTTTATCTAAGGCAGCGTTTTAGATCATCTCACGTTAGGAGCGAAAATGAATCGTAGTTTTGTTTATGTATCAGTTCAACATCCCTAAATTGCTCCAGAAATTCTAATCATGTCGTACATATGTCCAAATATGCTACTAAAACTGATCCAGCTCCCTCTTGACCAAACTTCCGTGATGCTACACGTCTATCTGAGAAGGCCATGTTGTATGACTGCAGGTAATGTAAAGTGATCAATTTGGCTTCATCATTATTGTTGTTATTATTATAAGGTACTTCTGAAAACCTTCGTCTGTTTGACAGCTTTGGGAACTGTGATCTGTAATATGGAATCTGTAATATGAAAATACAGTGTGTCAGCTGCCATGTTTGACCTTATTATCAGACCTATGCAAACACACGGGCTGTGCAGCCCTGTGTCTGAAACTGGAACTCAAATGTCGGAAAATAAAAAGACTTTTTAACTGAGTGTGTTTTGTCAATATGTTTTATGATCTCACTAACATCTAACAGGATCCAATGGTTTCTCAGTAATAGTAGCATGAGTTGCACATTGAAACTTTTCCACCATTTATTACACAGGAGAGCTGAAGGGACTCGACCATCCAGAACTTCACATTGACAGGCAAGTAAATAACATTCATTTTCTCGTCATAATGTCGCCTGTCGGTGGTGGGATACATTAGGCAGCAAGTGAACGCTCAGTTCTTGAAGTTGATGGCTGACTTGGTGTATATTCTGGGAAATTCTGAGCTGGAGAGAACATTTCAGAGAATTTAATACAGCAAAAAGGTCTGCTTCTGGCAGAAATGCAAGAGTGTGAAAGTTGAGGTAAACAGTATTTAATTGTATTGGAACTCATGGTCAGTAAATATTTGATCAAACACTTTGATTTCAAAGGACATGCTTTCCTTTTTTTTTTAAAAATGGTTGAGATAAATAATGCTAACATGCTTAAAATAGGTGTAAAATGCACTTTCTCTATCTCTGCTACTCTTTCTTTTAATTAGCTTTTTATATATAGCAAAAATCAAATGCAGTTTAAAGTAAAGTAGAAAACACATAGGACATAAAAATAAAAATAAGAGATTCGCAGAGATGATAAAAGACACAAAAAAAATAATACAAGTAATAAAAATAAAATAATTATAGTTTTTAAATGTTTGTTGTGCATATCCATGCTTAAACTGGCCACAGTTTGACTGACAATAATCAATCACAAGCAGTCATGATACAATTATCCTAAAGATGTTATTTTATTTTTTCACAGTTGATGCATGTTGGATCTGAATGTTTTAAGCTAAACTTTTTCGTTTTAGTTTTTTTTAAATTTTATTTTATATTTTGCCCACTTGGTGGCAGCACAGCAACCGGGAAACACAACATTGACACACTGACACAAAACCACATTACCAAGTTGATAAAGCAGCACACCACAGTTTTAGGGTGTTTTATAGTGTTACGGTGACTCATGCACAAAGAGCCACATTCATGCTGTTTGGTGTTAAACCGGTGGTGCACACTGAACTGACTGCAGGTTTCTTTACAGTAAATAGCTGCTTGTTGTGTTTGAAAACTCCCTGAAGAGAGAGTGACGTAAATCAGTGTAAAACCAAAACAATGAGCTGAAAGACACTAAAACTCTTACCAGCACTATTCCTTTAATCGTTTACGAACGGATAGACAAATAGACAGCTGTCCGTCAATGCAAAGGTGTCACACTTAAATTTGTTGAGCCGTGCCTCCCCATCAGCAGTGCATGTATAAGTTTAAATGACAACCCCTCTTGCTGGAAATGTTGAAAGGTGGCTGCCCTTTAGATCTCCACATCCTTCACAGAGATGAAAGCTCTCAGATTTATTCTAATCAATAGACTGTTAAATACCAGGGCCAGGCCCCCTGAACCAGCCTATACAAAAACAACCCCCCTCTCCCCACACACACATACACTTCCTGGTTGACTCTCTGCAGACGTTAGAGCCAGGTGATCTTCCACAGGACCAAAGGGAGGTGATGGAGGCTGTGACTCAGGGGGGGAGACGAGCCATTGGAAGGCAAAGGCTTCAGCATGTGGCTTAATTGCAGCCAGTCTCTCCTGCTGAGCATAATTAGTGTTAGATAGCATGTCACTTCCTGTGGAGTTTCATTTATTAGAGATGATGATTGGCTGAGGGATGAAACGGAGGGGTGACACCCCCGCCTCCCCTCCCAGCGGGAGGGGGGAAACAGCCGGGAGGGCAGTAAAGAGAGGTTCTCACCTGCTGGAAGCTCCCCTGCCTTCTATAATGACCTAATTAAGACCGAGTTGTTTTTACACTTGTATCGGTGATTATGTCGCTGATTTCTTTTCATCGATTTCCTCTCAATCAGCCTGATTTTAGTCCTTAATAATCCTAAGGCAATCATCTGGCTCTTTATTGTCTCTTTACATTGATTGAAGTTGTTTTTTTATTAGACCTGTTCTTTGCTGCAGCAGCCTCAAGTCTAACTAATACTTCTATTAAAGGTTTTAGGAATTAAAATGTGCACACTGCTACAGTTAGAATAACAAAACATAATGTGAAATTGCTAAACTATAGTCGTGCAGTTCTCAAATTTATTCATACCCTCCTATTAAAGAAGGGAAAAAAACAGCCGTCACTGACATGAGTTAAAATTGACAAAAGTAATAATAAATAAAAATGTAAAAAAAAACAAAAAACAAAAAAACAAGCATGATGGGACCTGGGGCTGCAGGGTGGCGCAGTTGGTAGCACTGTTGCCTCACAGCAAGAAGGTCGCCTGTTCGCGTCCGGAATCTTTCTGCGTGGAGTTTGCATGTTCTCCCCGTGCAGCGTGGGTTCTCTCCGAGTTCTCTGTCTTCCTCCCACACAGTCCAAAAACATGTTGAGGTTAATTGGTGATTCTAGATTGTCCGTAGGTGTGAATGTGAGTGTGCTTGGTTGTCTGTCTCTAAGTGTAGCCCTGCGATAGACTGGTGACCTGTCCAGGGTGTCCCCTGCCTTCGCCCTAAGTCGACTGGGATAGACTCCAGCCCCCCCACGACCCTAATGAGGATTGGGTGGTGTATAGATGATGGATGGATGGATGGATGGATGATGGGACTAACTAATATTTTGTTGAACAACCCTTTGAGCCAATCACTGCAATCAAGTGTTTTCTGTAACTCTCTATCAGACTTCTGCACCTGTTGACAGGTATTCTGGCTCACTGCTCATCAGTAGAGTGCTCTAATTTGTCCCGGACAATTTAATTTTATTTTTTAATTATTCTTTTCAACCACAATTCAAAAGGGATGTCTTATTTCACCAAATTATAATTTAGCAAATTTTTATTTATTTATTTTTTTTCAGATTCTAGTTATTTGAGTGACGATTGTGAATTTTGCCTTTTCTTTAATGGAAGGTTATGAATACATTTGAGGAAGACTAAATGGTGCATTTCAGTTGGAGAGGTGTCACTTGGGAATCACTGCAACTTGCCTCTAATAAAGGTTTGTGTCACCCTTCACACCTGCACAGGTGTTTATAATCACTGTGATGACTCTATTTGTGTAGAGCAACACACACAATCACCAAAATCCACATTTTTTTGCTACGTAGTGCATATATTAGAAAATGCATGCAGTGTATAGCAGTAATTGTAAGAAGTATTCAGATCCTCTGGTGTGGAAAATGTAGCAATAAAGCAATATGAAAATACTACGATACAAGTAAAAGTCCGTTAAAATCCTGCTGAAGTAAAAGTATCGAAGTATTAGCCAACATAGGTTCAGTCTCTCTAATTGATATATTTTTATATATGATCTCAATATGTAATCAAGACTAAAGCATCAATGAGTCAGCAGCATGCTACTAATGCTGCAGGTGGAGCTCGTTTGAACTACTTTATATATAGTTTTATATACAGGGACATCAGATAAGTAGAAGATTAATGACATAGGAGAGAAAAAAGTTTGTTTTAGTTTTGGGGCTTTTTCTCTCATATTTAATTTTTGGTGAGATGTTGGATCATTTGAACATATATTAAATTACACCATGTGAAAAGTTCAGAGGAAAAAAATAAGATTTGGTGGCGTTGTTGACAAAGAAATGTGATTCAGAAGAAGCCAAAAAGGTTGGAAAACACTGGCTGAATCTCTGACAGTGATATTTTTTTTTTAAAAAAAGAAAAGAAAAAAGAAAAGTGGTATATTATCCATTGTGTGAAATCTAAAAGCAACTAAAGCTGTCAGATAAATGTAGTGGAGTTTAAAATACAATATTTCTCTCTGAAATGTGATAAAGTGGAAGTACAAAGTAGGATTCAATAGAAATACTTAAGTACAAAAAGTGCAAAACTGTACCTAAGTATTATATTTGAGTGACTGTAGTTTTACTTTTCACTGCTGCTTTGTAGTGTCATTATTCTTATAGGGGGATGAAAAAATGCCTCATCTACCTACATCTGTCAGTGGTGGTGGACAATAATGGTGACTTTATATATTCATTGTCATAAATAAGATGCTAATTTATCCAATGAGCTGCTTTATTTATTGTGAACAAGACCAGGGCATGATTTCAAACACATTCAGTGATGAATCTAACTTGTTCTGTCTGAGGTGAAGTAATAGGTGCAACAAAGCTAATTGAAGCGTGGAGAGGTGGCTGTTTAATCAGGCAGATTAAGTGAAAACAGCTGGGATGGTGTACGTAGGCTACTGTCTTTAAAAAAAAAAATACAGTGTGCAACAAAATTAAGTGAACTTAAAACACTGAAAATGCATTACTTTTTTAGTGTGCACATTATGCTGCTCCACTTTGCAGTGTATAAATGAAAGTGGATGAGCTCCCACAGCTGCACAAAAATACAGTAAATTATTAGTTGTAGTGGTGAAGCAGCTACAGAAAATGTTTTATGTTAAGTCTTGTGAAGTTTATGATTCCAAAACTGCAGTTTGATTGATGTGGTTTTTTTTTTGTAAATGATTGCACCTGTCAGTAGTGGTGCATAGTGAGCAAAGGAACTCTCAGGTGGAGGTGTGGTCACGTTCCTGCACTAATCAGGCAAAACGAGGTTGTGCTGGTGTGCCATGCAGAAGCTTTAAAAGGCGTTTAATTTGTCTCAGATATGGGAGAGTGTGGTTTGTAACGCTTCCCCGCCAGCGATTAGCAGTTCCTCTTGAATCCCACAAATGCACATTTACATGCCCATTTATCAGAGTAAATGCCAGAGCCAGAGGTGTCCCGATTAAAGGCTGGAAGTAATGCCACTTAATGTATTTAAACAACTATCATTAGGGCTCAGTCACAGTGTTTTTGTGGTATTGCTTTACATAATGTCTCTGGTTTAACAGTGAAGGTTAAAATGTCGGTCCAATAATGAGTGCATAGCTTTCTTGCCTTCGGTGTTCATGGCCAGGTCACTACCCCTGGGACTGATGGTGGGTTATATAGTTAAGTGTTGCTCTGATTGAGGTACTTGCCTCTGGCGATAAAAGGTCAACATAAATGATTAATGAGAGGAAAATGTCATAAGGGAGGGGAGAGAGGAGAAAAAAAAAGAGGTGTTAGGCAACTATAGGATGACTACATCCTAAATTTTCTTCTGTTTTCCTTTTGCTTTTTACAGACATTTTATAACTTAAATGCATGTGAAATTGGGAGTGCAGGTCCTTCACGGGAGAGAACAGGAGATTTATTTCCAAATGGGATGGAATATTCACCGCAGGCGGGTTGCTTTTACAGCAGACAGACAAATCGATCTTAGCTCAGCTGAGGCACAATTTCCACTCATGGTGTTTATCCCTTTAACTGCGAGGTTTTGACCTATCATGTGTATTCAGATCAATGAGAGGAGAATTCCTTATGAGACTCACACAGAGGTGAGTCCGCTGAAACTACAGCCCAGTTCACACAAAAGCTCCTCTCCTCTAATTGGAACCCTTGGTAATACTGAGGAATGCCCTTTTGAAAACACACTTAATGACCGCATGTCAGCAGGAGACGTGTGTGATCTGTTCTATTAAGACTCACTGATTTATTCAATCACAACTATATTCAAGAGTGACCTGAATCACATCACACATCTGTGCTGCTGTCGTCTGTTTGTATTTTTCTTCTGTTGATCCAAAAAAAATGTCGACAATCACACTCCGGTGACTATTTGACATGTATCTTTATTGTAAACATTTGTCATGCAGATGCACAAGAATTACAAAATGATCTCTGCCACTGAAAAATGAAAGTAAATACAGACTTTGTCACTTTAAAAAAAAAAGCCTACTTCTACATTACTTTCATATATCCAGAGGGCATATGCAAACAATTATACCAACATAGCATTACCGACAACCTCCAATTTAGATGTCAAAAAGGGGGCAGTATTATATCAAGATATGCAATTTATTATACTGATTCATTATGACATACTGAATAAATATAGAGAAATAAATCTACTGTACTATTTACATGGTCGTCCCTATCAGTAGCTTTAACTTACTGCCAGCAAACTTCAATTTACACTAATTATAATCTCTACCTCCTCCATCATGCAACAAAAAGACATCATTGCTATCATTCTGACAGTACCTCTCTTACCTTGGAACAACATCATAAACACACTTGACAGAATACCAATGATTTACGCTGCAGCAGTCCGTTCAGCTGCGGTCAGTCGATGATCAGCTGGGAAGGTGGTTCTTATTTTTTCTCCTCTTTGTTCTGGTGCTCCCACGGCACGGGATCGTTTTCATCCGTGTGTGATCCGCTCTCCCTCTCGTGCCAGAACTGCTCCACATCAGGCAAGACAATCCCATCTTTGAGGCTCACCCTGTCTGCCTCCCTCCCTCCTCTTCCTCCGCCTTGCTCCTGCTGGGGCTGAGCCTCTCTCTGGCTGAAGCTCGACTGCAGGCTGCTCTCCCCCCTCAGCTGGCCCGAGGTCTCCGGTCGGGGACAAGGGGACCGGAGGCTGGTGGGGTTGTGGGGTCCCGGCTTTGGCTTGGACGGAGGTTGTTTGCGCAGGGTGAGGCGCCTCCACAGCCCCCTGTAACCCTCTCTGAACTCCTCAGAGAGGGAGAGCACTATGAGGGGGTTCACCAACGACAGGGAGAAGGTGAGCAGCTGGGAAGAGAGGGTCAGAAGAAGGGGAGGAGAAGAGACGAGGGGCTGAGCCCCTTCAATTTCTTTCTCTGCTATGTGACGCTCCCAAACCCACACCACCCACTGAGGAAGCCAGAGGATAGCCATGGCCACAGTGAGGCTAAAAAGCATTAAAGTGAGCCTCCTGGATCTGATCTGTGTACGCAGATTCTGAGTCTTACTGGAGCGCCGCTGGCATTGGCCGTAAGCTTTCCAGAAATACATCAGGGCGAAGCTGAGCGGAGCGCAGTAGACCCCCAGAGGGTATGCTTTTACATACACAGACATGAAATCCTTGGCTTCAGGAGGAACCACGAGCACACACACCAGCCCGCGGATCTCCCTCTGCAGCCTCGCAAACAGCCAGTGAGGGATGGTGACAGAGCAGGCTGACAGCCAGATGAAGAAGAGCACCACCAGGATGGAGCCCAGGTGGATGCTCACCTGCTTGGTGGGGTTTGACACGTAGCGGTAGCAGGCTTTGGCCATGATTGCCACTGTGAAGCTCTTCGCCGCCATGCAGGACTGGAGGAACCAGTCAGCCGTCTTGCACACCACCCAGCCCAGATTCCAGCTCGCCTTGGAGAAGGAGGCAGCCCTGAATGGCACCGTAAACATCAGCACCAGCCCGTCAGCAAACATCAGGTTGAAGATGAGGGAGTTGATGAGGGACAGTTTGCCTTTATGTGCATTTGAGAACAAGATGACCATCGCGGTGAGATTACAAGCCGCACCCAAGACGCAGATGACTCCCAGGATCGCCGGCATCAGGACCCTGAGCTCACCGGGGTCCAGGTGCTGGAAAGAGCCATGTTCATTGAAAGACCACCTGTCGATGGAGCTGTTCACCACAGTCGCATTGTTCCCGCTCATCTTATCCATCGTTTCCAGAAAAACGTGCAAAGAAAATCTGTGTAACGTCAATGGCAGCCAGGAGATTAAAAAAAAACAAGAAGGTTCTAAAGTAGAAGAACGTCCAAAAACAGAAGTGCTGCTCTAAAGACAGATTTGGCAAAATATGTTTCGGAATGTAAGCGTGTTAAAATAATCGCATCAGAGAAGATATTGATTGACAATTAGTGATCACAGTGGAACTTCTGTCTGTCCCCTGGTTTATCCTGAGACGCAATGATGCAGCTTCTGCGGCTAGTTATAAAGATGCTGCTTGATTGACAGCTGCTGTCCCCAGCTGGCAAAATGTGCGTCGACTACACCCTCATGGGGCCAATTAGGAAAAAAAAAACTCTGCATAATGTGCTCAGATGAATATATTGGCTTTCTAATTTGTGTAAGTGATTGTGAATTAATGGTCATTACATTAAGGTTTTCTGAGCAGTAATTGGATGATTTAAATGAAATTAAAGAAGCACTAATGTCTAACTTGATGAGGGATCTTTGATTCTGGCATGAACCAGTGCACAAAAGCCATTTTAGCATTTGGTGAAGAACAGGACAGTAAAGCAAGCCAGATGGATTTTGACATTTGTATTTGTTGTGTTTCATTTGTCATTTGTAGGACAACAAATTATAAAATGCTATGTTATGAATAAACATAAGTAGCACAAAGAAACTGAGGAAACGATGACAGGGGTTAGTAATTAGAAATCATCCACTAGCTCTCTCCAGATGTTGAAAATCATGTTTTTTCTCTTTTTTTGTAACCACCAGACTGCCTCTACTTGTTTCACTCGTTGTCCACATGAGGGCGACATTACACCACAAGCAGCGTTGGTTATAGTCAAACATGCAACTCAGGCAAGATTCAGCAGCTATCCAACAGAGGAGGTCCACCAGTGCAGGATTTGAACTTGCACATCTTTATTCTTTTTTATTCAAAGAAAGTCCAGTAAGCATAAAGACTGCATGGTAATTCATTGCATTTCAATACATTCTGAGCTATAAAAGGTTTTTTTTTCTTTTTCTTCTTTCAATTAGAAGTGTCACAAAGGAGGTTGTTTAGAAGACATTACTGTTTAAAGGAATCACACTTAATTATTCCCTGATTTCACAGAGTTCAGTTAGACCTTTGACTGCTTTGCTTTATGGGAGTTGGCTCTAATCTGAGACGAGTGACGACCTCCGAACCGATCGGAGTCGAAGGCTGAAAGACAACCTGCTACTGCTCCATGTTCCCCATCCTCAGCGAGAGAGGAAACATGGACAGACATTGCAGCAATCTAAAATCAAAATCTTTTTAAACTGGCTACTTTTGGAGAAAAAAAAAATGCCATAATTGCATAGCACCCCAGATGATCTGTAGATGTTCAAATAACTATATGCAGGCTTTCAGTTTCAACAGAATCAGATCCAAGGCATGCAAAAGGAGCTATGCTTGCATTGTTATGCCACGTAAATCTCGAGTTTAGGTTCAGTATTTTAGGTTTACGGTTTTGCCATCTACAGATCATTTTCAGGTCTATCCAAATTAGGTAAAAATGTGGCAAGGAGTTTTTTTTGTTCAAAGAATTTTGCAAGGGAAAGAAAAAGAATGTGGCTTTGCCGTGTCTCTTGCAAACCGATGACATCAGACTGACTGCAATGTAAGAGCAACAATTAACTTTGTACATATCACAGCGTCCTCTCCTGAGCCCACACGCATGTAACCGGTGCTATGAAGTACTCTGGACTACATCGCTTCAAGCACTTTTTTTCCACTTGGGACCTGCGTTGTCTCTTTTTTTTGTTGTTGTTTTTGTTTATGGAGAAAGAAAGAGGAAAAGAAAAAAAAAAAGGAAAGAAAAATTCCTAAGTTAACATTTCATTTGAAACATTCACACTCCCACCTTGAACTCAGTACCCTCCCTCCCCTCCCCATCCACTACATCGAACCCCCACATACCAAAAGAAGGCACCACAGCTTCTAAACAGACTCATTGACCGAGAGAAGGACTCAACAAAACAACAGCATTAAATAAAACACAGCCTGGAAGGGCTTCATTCACATTACAGACTACAGCAGTCTCACCAGGGAGACACAAAAATTGGTACTAGAAAGACTGACTGTGTTGTGTCACAGACAGAGGAAACTCTCAGTTTCTGGGGTCAAAGATTAACAGTCTCTTCCTCTTCTGTGGTTGGTCGCATTGTCCAGAACTTCACCTCAGCTGGAGGCGGCAGGGTTGATCACATGCACTGTAGCATGAGCAGATTGAAAGAGAGGGGGCACTGTTGCTACATGACAATGAGCCACCATCATGTAAGCTTGGTTTTTCTGTCTGTGTGCTCTATTTTCTGTTCAGTGTACCCACACCCGCCCTTTTCTTCAGGGTCCAGAGGGCTGCTACATCATATTATTCATGCAGCAATCCCCTTGTTGCATAAATGCACGGGATTTCGATTCTTCAGGTGTCCGCATGGCTAAATAAATTAAATTAGAAGTCAAATTATAAGAATGAAAGTCCATTCTTGATTTCAAGGAGCCTTTTCCTCGGGTTGTATCCGTTTTTTGCGCTTCCCAAAATTCATGCTGTCCACTTTCCCCGCTTCAGTCACTGGATACTCGACTCTGCGCCTCCTCGGCAGAGTGGGGGAATTCAGGACAGCAGCCCCTCACGTGTGCGGGGTCGGGGGGTCGGCAGGGGCAGACTGCGCTTTAGTTGACCTTGTCTTGGAAGATGTAGAGGTTGTTGGTGGCCGCTACAGCGATGATGTTCTCATGTGGGTGCCACGTAGTGTGAAGGATCTTCTTGCTGAAGTCGAGGCTGTCGACGCTGATCTCATCTTTACGCCGTTTCCCACCTACACACACCTGCAGGACAACAACAGGGATGAGGCGGTGTTAAGATGTGGGAGTGTTTGCAAGCTTTCAATCATAAATTAACACCGATTTCAGTGATTTTAAAGAATGTTTGGCTGTCTTTTTTGTTTTTGGTTGATTTAGCAGCAGTAATGGAAACAATTTAATATGAGAATGAGTTAGCAAATAGAGGCTTATTTACAAAGAGAGGAACACTGGAGTCTTTTATAGTATTTGGCTGAACAACCCCAATATTCACTCTCCTTTTAGGCCTGTCTTCACAAACTCTTAAGAGACATATTTAGCTCTTAAGCTGTAAAATGATGCACTATGTTCACCAGCTAGTCGCATGTATTGTCTGTCTGTTTGGTGCTGAGCAGGAGGCGTACAGTGGGTTTATCAGAGCTGTTTTGCTGATAACATCATTGAGGATGCATATTAATTAAAACAAACAGCTGAAAGATGCCAAATACTCTGTATGGAAGAACTGTTCAATTAGGTAATAATAACTTTCTGTAACACACATCTCACATACTCATTTAACCACTGAAAATGCGTATTGCTGCAGCTGTAAAGCTAGAGTATGCAATGTTTTCAAGGGCTATTTTTTGTTATATGATGAAAGTCTCTTTACATTTCAACGGCAATCGATAAATCAACAGCTGTGATAATAAAAAAAGAATGATCTGTTACCTAAGGCAGCCACAGGCCTGTAAAAAGCCAGTGCAGTGATTGCATTTAATCTGTGTGAGATGATAACTATGTACCAGCCTACCTGTGTGCATTCTGTTACACATTACTAAAGCTACTGAACAGATAGCGTAGGCATACGAGCAGCCAATTTACCAGCTGTATTTAATTTTTATTGTCCTTCAGTTTCATTAGATTGTGTCACTGTATCGGTATATATGTTCACCACCTGTCTGCATTGTAGTTAGCTGTGAGGAGGAGCCATTTGATGGTATTTAGTCTATATTCAGCTTACATTGGATGTTTTTCAAATGTGGTGATGCAGCCTCCTTGTGTGTTTTTAGACATGAGTTAGCTTTAATGCAACACGCTCCTCTCTCCACCAATACTCTGTGTTATGGATTACAGGGAGACCTGAAGGGAGGAAATAATTTTTCCCCAGTTGCATGCTTCAGAAATCTAGCTTACTTGTGCAGTCTCACATACTCTAGCTTTTAGAGTCATAAAACAGTTCATTCTGCTGTTCACTGTGCACAACACTACATTCATAGGCTCAACTGGTCAATTTGTTGTAAAGAGTGATGTACAAAGAATAAGTGAAAAACTGGGAACAATAAATCTAACAATGGTTAGCTAAAACTAAGAAAAAAGTTTTAGATTTATCATGTCACGGTCCTGCTAGTAGTCACACCCAATACATAGATTCCACACAGGTCCTCGGCTTTGTGGGTGTTACTGCTGAGGCAGGTGCAGTTTGATATGCAACTTCTAGTTAATGTCATAATCAATCACACCGTAGCTCATCAGTGAGGATTTCCACTCATTAACGTTACAAGATATATATATATATATTGCATTTAAAGACAAGTGGATGTGCTGTTTTAAGACGACAGCTAAGTATTTTACTGCTACAACAGTTAGTTGATCAACAGAAAATTAATTGACAACTGAATTGTCATCCTAGTTATTTTATTTGGCAAAAATCTATTGAACTTTGATGCCTTTGTTTGTGTAAACTGACAAGTTTTGCCCCACTGCTTGGACAAACCCAGATATATGGAGGTGTCAGCTTAGACTGTAGGATATTTTCGCTGTTTCCTAACAATTTCTAGAGAAATGGCAAATCAATTATTCTAGAAAATAGCAAGCTAGTTAATCACTTGTAAAAATTATTGCTAAATTCAACTCTTAACTGATTGCATTCATTAGTTATTTGTCCAACAATTATTATCTCCAAATATACTTGCAGTAAAAAGTGCCGGATAATAGTGAATAATATCAGTTTCCCAGCCCAAGATGACAGATCTATACTGTCTGAGCAACAATCCAAACCCAAGTATATTCAGTCTACAATCATAGAGACAAAAGGAAAAACCAGCATTGTATTTAGTATCTCTGCACTAAAAATTGTTTAAACGATTTATTGGTTAATTGTAAGTTTTAATCATTTCTGTATTTATTTCTGTATGTATGTATGTATGTATTTATTTATTTATTGGTCCTGACTGGTGGGGAGTTTCAGGTATAAAACTAAATCAAATTGTCTTCCAAGTGGTAACTGGTGTTAGCCAGAAGTGGTGTACCTTGCGTGGCTTCAGAATAGCTCTGGGTTTGCTGTTCTCTCTGGACGCTTCCAGTGTGACGTCCCGTTTGGTGTTCCGGTCAAACATTCTGAAGAAGTTGTTGTAGGAGCCGGTCATTATGACGCTGAGGGTGAGAAGATGAGAGTGTAAGGTCATTGAAAGAGGTGGATGGATGGATGGATGGATGGATAGATTGATTGGCTTGATTGATTAATGGATTTAAAAGAAGTCCCACCTGTCTGATCCGTTCCAGACACACTCAAACTTGTCAAAGATGCAGTCGTTCTCATATAAAGAACAAAGTTTCCCTCGTAAGTAGTCATGAACCTGCAAAACAAAACAAACGCATTAATATCTGAACCGGTTGTCGGATTATGAGCAGCCTTTACCGGCCTCTAAAGTTCTAGCTGACAATGACGCAACCATAAAGCTGCACTACCATATGCTCCACTTTCAGTAATCCCTCCAGACCTGGTGACCTACGCTAAGATGGTCGGTAGCAGGTGGAGGCGGAGGTGGAATTGGACGGAGAATCCCTTGAGCCTCGCTGATGGCCTTATCAATCATGACCTGCCCTAAGATGGTTTCCCCTGATCAGACAGTGTGGATCTGACCTCGGTGACCACACAGTGGGAGGTTTTGCCCTTCAGCTTGCATCGGCTCCAACACTATCCGTCTTTTTTTTTTTTTTGGCACTCGCCTCAATAAGCCCTCCTGGGGTAATTGCTAAAGATGACACAGTTACAGATGGGCAGGGTGACAGTGAAACAGGATTATGTTGAGTGATTAGCCTGAAAATCAATAAGTTTTGATTTGATCTGGGCTCCACCGTTATTTACTAACATCCCCCGCTGAGAATTGGAGCCCTCAAACTGTCCAACAGGCACATAAAAGCTTAACGAAAGCGTACCTGGTATGTCTCAAGTGGTTTGTTCTCCATTTGAAGGTCCCACACCTTGACAGTGAGGTAGTCCCTTGTCATCAGGTAGCGTCCGTTGTGGCTGAATTTCACGTCTGAGATGGATGAAATGATTTCAGAGAAAAACGAGCGAGTGGATGGATCTTCTGGCTCCTCAAAGTCTGCGAACGAGAGAACGAACAAAAAGCAGATTTTTACACATCTTTAAACCGTAGGAGGTCGGGGTGTTTTTTTTGTTGTTTCCCTTCCACAAGTCTTTGAATCATTTACAGTAAAAAAAAAGCACAAGGCAGATTTGGTTCGGGCGGTGGAGGCTGTCATTAACACACAGTAACAGCCACAACAATGCCTGGGTGCTGGGTTTGCTGCAGCAGCTGCATCTCCTCGCAGAATTAGTTGTGTGTTTAGGGAGATAGTCGTGGGTCAGCATGGTGGGTAAATATTGGTTATGAGTCATATTGATTTTGGCAGCTGCTGATCTGTGTGCAGGCCAACACGCTGGGGATAAGAGCCAGGCATTCCATCGTTAGCTGTCAAGTTATTGTTCCTCCTCCTCTTTTTCCTCCCACCCTTCCTCCCCTCTCTCTAGTCTCCATCTCTCCAAAAATGCTCCCCCCCCTCCAATCCTCCTCCTCCTCAGCTGAGGCCTGGAGAATAGCTCTGTGATGTGTCAATGGGGAGTCTAACAAGGGATGCGGCGTGAGAGATGAAAAAATGGGGGGATGAGGAAGGGATAAGAAAAACAAATCAATGTCAAAGTGCTGGGCCCATGTGAGCCCCGCTGGAATTGTGTGTGCCAGTGAATGAATGTTTGTGAATAAGTGCAATGTGTGCATGTATATATGCATGTGTGTGTGTGCGTCCCTGCCCTCCCTCCCGCCCACCCCGCTCCAGGGGTGTATAATAGGGTCCCTGGGGAGTCAGTAGGGGGGCTGTTTGGTCCCTCTCTCCCTGTCCTGGGGCTCAGCGCTTTGGCAATCCTCTCCTATGCCTCCATCCATCCCTCACCCACCCACCCATCCATCCATCCATCTTTGCTATAACGCTGATTGATACTAGCAGCCTTCTGGATTTATAGGTATGGAAGGAGATACAGTACAAACATGAAGCTACATGTGTGTTTGGATGAGGTGTGTGCAGGAGGGAAGGCACTATACATCACTCTGTGCCATACACGTTCATGCAGCGAGACAGGAGTTTGGCATTAACAGACCTGTCCTGAGGCTAGCAAGAGCACCTGCCTGCTCCGTGGGCGTGTGCACCACGAACACCTGTCCAGGAATGGCACCTACTTGCCAATATGAAATACTGAGAGGGGCAGCTGTGAGCTCCCTCCAAATCCAAACACTTTCTCTTATCCGAGCCCCTTCAAATGCTCATGTGAAATTCAACAGGCCAGGTTAGCGCACGGTCCAGCGCACGCGTCAATATGTCTGAGGAAATGACTGACATTATTGAACAACAAGGTGTGTCCATGAGGGACTAATGTGATTGCTCTTAAGCCATTGATTTTCCAGCGAAAATGTCAATGTATTCATTATTCATTCAACCAAAGTGTATGCGCGTGATGTTAAGCTTTGGAGAAGGCCATTCATTGTTCGGGACACACTACGCGATTTATTGATGGGTTATCAATCGTGGCGTATTGAGCAGGGGAAGCTCACTTGTCACCGTTACACAGGGATGGAGCTGAAGCAGAAAAATTGAGTGTGAATTGGCGACCAAGGCGTTTCCATTGTGTCTATATAGACTTTCAGTTTTCCCGGTTTTGTTAGTGTTCTGTCATGTATGTACAATTTCACATAAACCTGCACATCTCTCCTGTTTCCGTCCTCCCTTTGTTGCTTAACGTTAATCATTACTAACAACATACCACTCTGTTTCCATAGAGGACAAAGAGGACTTGTCATCTGTTGTTGTTTCAAGGAATGTGTGTGCTTTGATGGTTAGGAAAGGAGGTAATATTCGACAGTTATATGTAAATTAAACATAATGTGCTACTATTCTGTTTTGTAGACTCAGTATCTAATCAGCATTGGCAGCTTTGAAAGAAAAAAATTAAATAAAACAAAGGTATTCATGGTATTTCAGTTTAGTTAATTATACCTGACTCCGCATGGAGGCTTTTCAGACAGAAGGCTTTGAAGCGATGTGTCGATGAAGAATTTAAAAAATGAAAAGCAGTGACATGAATAAAAACCTTGAAAACAAAATTATATAAATCATTAAGTTTTAAAGAATATTTTTGTGGCTCGTTAACTCTCTGAATACCAAAACACGTCCGCCAGTTTGAAAAGCATGTTATATTTTTTAAGAATTCTGAAAAAACAGCATTCATCAGAGCCAGAAGCGGACAAAACCGAGAATCGTCAGATTTCCAGCTTTCTGACGATCCTTAGACTACACTTCTGTGACGTGCCCTTTTGTCAGAAAACTTCTTCAAAATCACTTCATTCTACATTATTCTTGTAAAAATCCACCAAAAGTAAATTGTTTGCTGTAATTAGATTCTGTAAATAAACTTAAAAAGTCAGCAGAACTGGGATGAACTGCAGGCAAATACAAAAGAAGTATGGAAATAAATTCAAAGAGCAGGTAGTAAAATATCCATTGTATGACAATTTTTTGGGGCACTTCAAAAAATGATGAACATGTTGGTTCCAGGTTTAGTTTTTTTTTTTACATTTTCTAAAAATAAACAATCAAAGAAATAGATTTTTAGATGACTATTATATTATTTTATATTTATGATTTATGAACATTTTACTGTATTATAAGAAACAAAAGATATTTTTGTGTTTTCCTCACTTCTACAAAAGGTTCTACTGTTTCCACAGAGGTTGGAGTGAAAAATAAGCCCACAGAGATGAAACGTGTGACAGAAGCAAAAAAAAATGACAAGAAACTGTTTGGAATTCTCTGTTTGGATTTACAAAAGAGCAGCATTTTTTTTCTGATGGAATTTGGACTCATGAGGGTTTTGAAATTCTTGATAAAAAGAATAGTAAACCAGGACAAATAAAAAGCAGCACATGAAAGAAAATCCATAAAGATAACTGTATCTGGAAAGCTATGACACATAAATGATTTTTTTCCATCCATGATACACTCCACTGATACTCACATTTGCAATGCTTGTCACAGAGTGCAGCCTGTCTCATGTCACAGAGGCGTATCGAGCCCTTGCTGCTACTGTAGGCAAAGGTGTGACACTGCTGGGGATGAAACTCTGCTGAGGTGATTACTTCCGTCAGCTCCTCCATGTTGGCTGGCTTGATGTCCACGATGTCTGAGAGACGAACGCTGAGGAACAGCTTCTCTAACATGACTGCAATGGACATCTAGTGCACTGAGAACAACAAAATACGCCTCTACAGTTCTGAATTGTAGCTCTAAAATACATATTCTGTCCAAACTGGTGTTTAGAAATTCAATAAAATAAAGCCAAGAAACAATATTCATATTGGACCGATTTTTGTCTCTGTGGTTTGGTTATTTTTCCGAGTATGTTTTCAAATTTTAACAGTAATAAACACCCGAGTGTGAGGATACTGAAGCTGCGGTCGGTGATCTCCAGGTTCCACAGGTTCACCCGGAGGTCATCGGTGGAGATGAAGGTCTGGAGGTCGGAGTTGACAGAGATGGAGTTGATGTGGTAGGTATGGGCATTGCTGAATACACGTCTGGCTGTTGCCTCAACCATCAAATCCATAGGCTGCAGCACCGGCACCTGGGGGTTAATACGGGTCATTTAACAGGAGATGTGAAGAAAGACAGGAAAAAAATATGCAAGAAAACAGGATTCATATTCAAGGCTCTCTACGTGTTTTGCAAGGCTGATACATTTTTCCATTTACCTTGAAGCTGGCTTCATAGCAGCCTTCTTAGATATGTATCTGTGTGTATGTGTATGCACCTGGTCTGCTGGATTCTGTATGAACATATTTGTGTGTGTGTGTCTGTGAGAGGGCCACAGCCGGATGACTCCAGGGATTCATTTGACATTTACTCCACAAATCTTAATGAAACAGAGACAGCGACTAAAGGGCTGCAGGGCTGTTTGATGAGCTGGTTCAATCAGACTGTGAATATCTGTTTGCTACACAGCTACTCAGTGATCTCGCCTGCCTCCCTCTCTCTCTCTCTCTTTCTCATGTAAGTGCTGAATAAGTCACTCCTGCTCTCTTGTTTGTGTGTGTGTCAGAGAGAAAGACAGGAAAAAGAGAGAAACGAAGGAGGAGATGGCCCGAGGGCATCGCTGGGCCCTGCTGAGGAATGATAACTGAACTCTACAGAATTAAGATGAGCTCACACACACACACACACATACACATATACACACATATATACAAGCGCATACAGTTTCACAGCGCGGCTAGGGCTTCAAAGACGCCCAGCACCAGTCTGCATGCAGCCCCCCGTTGGCCAGATAAAACCCAGACAAAGAGAGAAGAGAGGGGAGGGAGCAAGGAGAACAAATCGACTGCTTCTTCCCTTTTTCTCCCGTCCATTGCTGGCACTGACAGAAAGACATGGCAGCCCAGCAGGCTGCTGTATCTCCATGGGTGTCACTTCATTTCCATGTCTTTCACTAGCTGTCCAGAGAGACATGGACCGTATTAACCCATAACCCCCAAACACTGACAGCTACACTGTTCAGCTTGCCCCTGCACCTTCACAGTGATCTCATAGACTGTCTTAGTCATCCTTGCTTTAAAAATGTGTCATACTCGATACTATATTTAATACTATTTTTAAGCACAATCAGATAAAACACAAAAACAATGATGTTGTATACATGTTTGACGCTTTAAGGAGACACCAAGTGCTGATTCTCACGTTGTCTATTTTTGTTCGACATTTTTCGGCCTCTATTTGGACTAATATTGCTGAGTTCCTCCTTCAGCTCCTCTGCTTTCTCCCCTTTCACAGCCTCTAAACAGGATTGCCACAGTCCCAGCCTGTCCTCCAGGTTGCTATGATCCCCTGGCCAGCCAGACAAAGAGGGACAGACACGCTGAACATAGCACTAATCTGCTATGGCAGACACCCACAGACACACACACACACACACACACACACGCACATACACACACACACACACTGTCCTATGTGTGCGCCCTCCTTTGTGTGGAAATTAAATAGGTAGTGGAGTGATAAGAATGAGCGAGAGGGAGAGGATGATCCCTTCATGGTGTTCATCTCACTGCACATATTGATCGCTCATTCTCACTTTTCTGCTGCCAGTCTAAGTTCAAAAGTGTCCAGAGATAGCATGTTGGATGCGGTCAGACTCTCATTCATTAGCGCTGGAACTGATCATATGATAGTCTGTGGTATTTAAATGAAAAAAACAAAAAAGGAAAAAAAAAAACAAAACCCCATGACAGATATAGACACGCTGGACGTGCTGCTGCTAAGAAGTTTATGCAGGATTAAAGGCTATCATAGCATGAAGGCTGAATGCTAAATTTTGATTTAATCAGCTTATCTGACCTCTTCTTATTTAGACTCCAGGGTACTTGGTGTGCAGGCCTTTGCAGAACCACTGATTCACTGAAAACTTCAGCACCTCTGGCCTTCAATTTATATATTTTCAAGTCTCTGTACTAAAAGAGTGGCCTTTAAGGGGAACTCCTACAATTTTCTCATTGCTTTGGTTTAAGCTAATTTTAAGAGGATAAAAGAAGCAGAAAGCTACCCGAGGTCAAATGAAATATGTTACTGAATCGTTGTTTTTTTCTATTGTATAATGATTTTCTTTGCCATTTTCACATTTATTGGACAGTTGATGGTGGAGAGGCAGATAGAAAAGCCTAGGGATAAATACATAACACACAATTAAGGCCCTCAGCTCGACCTGAAATAGAGTTATATGTTTTGCACCACAGCGATTCAACTACCAGGAGAACACGACTGGAAAATGCTTTTGCAACATTCATTTCTCAACATAATAGGCCATTTACAAAATGTACAATTGTTTAAATTATTCCTCTTATTACATACATAATACATACACTAGCTGGACTAATAGCTCCAAAATTATTCACTCTGTTTACATGTTTATGGAAGCAGAGACAGTAACTTATCATGTTTTACTTTTTTTACTTTTATTTTTTAAAATATTTTCGGTCCAGGCGCCGAGGCTCTGGAATGACCTGCCCGAGGAAATCCGGTCGGATAATTCTGTGCTCTCTTTTAAGTCACTTCTTCAAGCACATTTTTATTGGAGAGCTTTTCCTGATTTTATTTACGTTTTATGTTTTATAGCTATATTTGTGTGCTTTCTAAATTTATAAATTATTCTGTGTGCTGATTGTATTTATATTTATTTTTATTGAAAAGCACTTTGTAACGTTTGTTTTGAAAACTGTGCCATAAATAAAGATTATTTAAATTATTATTATTATAGCAGTATATTACATTGCATATCATTTTCTTTTGTTGAGGCAGAAATTGACTTTACTAAGACAAAACAGGCCTGAAATTATCCTGACTTAAAATAGTTTCTTTTTGTTTCTATTCATGATTAATAACTAGGCTGTTTTTTCATTTACGTCTCCCTATAACACAAAGTCTGTGGTTTACTATATAGAGTACAGAATTTAAATTTCTGTCCTCACTGACGGATTACATTTTAACTTTCACATCCATATAATGTTATGTGTTGCGCTGAAAGATTTGAAAGTAGTACCATGGACACTGCTTTTTTAAAATTCCATTGTGAATAATATAAAGTATAAATTTGTTCTCTGATTTTCTAAATGCACTGACAGAGTTTCTGCTTAATTTCCTTGTACACTGTGCAGTGATAATAATTCATTTCTATTCTGTTCTGTCCTATTCTCAGTTTCATACAAACCGCTTGGACTCTTCCAGTTTTTTTCCCACCTAAATTCCCCCGTCTCCTGATACCATAACATGCAATTCGCCCGGGAGCCAAACCGTAAAATTTTAACACACCAACATGACAAATCATAGCACCACACACCAGAACACATGTGACATTTTGGGTGGTGTTACTTGACTTCACGGTTTTGTGTGACATTTTACCCGTAGCGAGGTGATGGTCGACGGGTCTCGGATCCGTCCGTCCTCATCCTTCAGGTTGTAGCCCTCCGGACGCTTGTCCCTCTCACTGATCTTCCACAGCTTCACTGTCTTGTCTGGGGTGGATACAACAAAACGCACACAGACAAACACAAAATACAGTTAGATAATGGCTCACTACAGTGAATCTCAGATACAAGATGGATGCGGGGGGTTGGGTAGCCAATCTGGCATGTAGCTGGGCAGGAGCCAGCGAGGATGATGAATGGCGGCTCCTGTGTAGATTCTGATGTCACTGATATCAATCTACAAGTTCACTACATTTCCCTGCTGCTGTATATACGCTTCCCCTGAAAAAGCCATCTGGGCGGTTTTCAGTCCTGCATCACATAGACACCAGTTACATCTCATCTTCTCGGTCTGCTGAAGAGGATGGCGGCAGCAGTCAGGTTGATTTTTTTTCTTTTTTCAGTTACATCTCATCTTCTCGGTCTGCTGAAGAGGATGGCGGCAGCAGTCAGGTTGATTTTTTTTCTTTTTTTTTTTTTTTCTTTTAATTTCCGCTGTGAATATTGGTGTCAGAGCAACGAGGCCATCGCCACAGGACCCTCCACCATCTGCTCCAGCCACCGCTAGCACTTCTGTAGCAGCCATGCATGAAGCCCACAATCTGCAAGACGTCTCTCTGCTGATGTGTGTGTGTCTGTTTGAGCTGCCGTGCATGTATGCCGTGTGGAGCCACATGCTTTGATGTATGTGTGTGTGTGTGTCTGCTGTGGCAGCCATGCATGAAGTCCTTAATCTAAACTCTTCTGCTGGTGGCAGTTGCTCATCCAAGCAAAACACCCATACATTCACAGAAACAGTCAAAAAGACATTTTCATTGGATATTAACGACTTCTCTTCAGCTGTGTATCTTACCATTCTGCAAAGAGAGAAATTAATCTTACCTTTAGCTGACACTTTCACTGAATAACATCAACACGATGTGCACATGTAGACATACGATGATGATAGATTATGGGTTCCTTTGACCATTTCACTATTTGTATTGCTCTCACAAGCCATAGCTAAGTGACTGACCGTTGGTGGAGAGCAGGAAGTATGCTGCGTTCTGCTGAGGAAGCCATTTGATCTTGTTGATCTTCTCCTCAATCTCCAAACTCTTCAGGTAGTCGAACTCGGGTTCGTGGCTCTGGAATGTGCTGTAAACATTGTACTCCCCTCTGCGTTGGGGCTGACTCTTACTCTGTAAAAGAAAGAGGAAAGAAAGTGAGAAATATGTAGATATATTTGCTGGAATTTTCAAAAGATGACACTACTGTGTCCCACAAAATAGGTGTAAATGATTAAAAAATGACCCAGCATATTTTAGAAAAGGTGTAAACATACATTTTTTTCCCCTTGAATTATTATTGAAGTAGATAATGAAAACATTTTAGCTAAGCTCACAACATGTTACAGGCATTCTTATTTTTTTGTTTTTTTTTAACTTAAATGTAAATATTTCCAACACAATATTGCAACCAAATAGTTCATCAATGAGGCTGAGGGTAATATTGTTAGTATTACAGTTGCTAACAGGATGGTTATAATATCAGACTGTCACTACACCATTACTGTGGCTGAAATAATTCACAATAATGATATTATTGCAAGATCTATAGATTTTTTTTTTTTAAATAATAAGAATAAGAATATTAACAATGTAAAATATCAATACACTGTCAAATTCATCTTCAACTTTGTTTATTGTGTGTTCTGTCTTGTTTTGGCAAAGTAATTACACCTAAAATATGACTGTAAGGAGGTAAAAAGAGAGACGGCCTGTAACTATATCAGTGCCGCAGTGTCAAACAACACAGGAACTCTACTGGTTGATACTCTAAACCAACATGGTTCCTGTTGGTTGACGCCACTATGCATTATTTATATTGTAAAAGATCCATACTGGCAATGGATTACTTATGATATTACCATATGTGCATTACCAACATGGTATCAATATTTCATTTTTTAAATATCACCGTTTTCATCAATAGCACTATGACACGGCTCTACTTGCTGCATGTCAATATGTTAGCATCGCCGCTGTATAGCCATGTTAGCAACATGTCAGCAATAAATTTATGCTTTACATTCACCTCCTTCATTACACAAAATATTAAAATCTAGATTACCACTATTTGCATATACTTTCATGTAAATCTGCAAGTTATATTTGGTATTATAACTTGACAACTTGGCCTCTTATCTAGATTTCAGAATTTTAAACAATGCTTTTCCATTTAACTTGAGTCTAACCAAAGCTTGTACACACTTCTGCTAATTTTTCAGACCGCACCCCTTTTCAAACACACCCCTTATTCAACTTTCAAACAAACGATCCAACTTTACCATTTCAAGGCTGTCAAACCCTTTTAGCAGAAGGGCAGCATAATTAGTGTTGCATTCTTGGCATTTCCTACCTCCTGCTCCCTCTGGAAGACAACCACTCTGCCTCCTTTATCCCCGGTGGCCAACAGCTCCCCCGATGAGTTAAACTCCACCGTTGAGATAATGTCAGCTGAAACACAGGAAGCAGAGCAGAGAGGGGGAGAAAATGTCAGTGTGGACGTGAACAAACCTGTCAAAGTACCAGGCGGGCAAAAAAGGAAGCCCTTTCAGTGAGATCTGGTGGAGTGACTTCTAAAAAACACATCAGAGGAACGGAGGGGAATCTCGTGACAAGCCCACAGAGGGACTCTTCGGCACAGATACCCCAGTTTGGTGAAATATGGGTTAGGAGAAACTCACTGAATGAGTCACTGCATGATAATTCTGCCTCTTGTCTGACTGAAGTGAGCCAATTTGTGTCATTTAATTGCACTCCTGCTTTTTATAAGGATGCTGCCGACACACTAATAATGCCATTCATCTCTCTACTCCTGAGTGAGACCCCGTGCTGCTCAGCGGCTCTCCTGCTTCATCACAAAACATATTCATAAACCTTTCAACCATTTGCTTTTTGCAGCTGATATGTCTGTGGGTGTGTAGCATACTTTTTTTAAAAATTCAATCTGTGCAGAGCAACAGGATGATAATAAAAAAATAATAAGATTTATCTGAGCGGCTCTGCATAGCTACAGTTTCACCAATAAAAGTAAATAACAGACACCTACCCTTAAGGTAGCTTTTCCTCTCCTCCTCAAAGACATACATCTGCCTGGATTTGGGAGAGGCTAATGGTGACTGTAATTATTACACAGCCCCGGGCTAAAAAAGGCATAGCACAATGCGTGTGTCGCACACACACACAGACACACACCACAGCAGAGGCTAGCCCTCGGTTTAACAGTGACAATAATATTAGCCAGAGAGAGAGAGAGAAAGAGAGAGAAAGCTTGTTGTTTTGTACCCCCCACGCCCTCTGTGGACCTGCTACTGGCGGAGCTCTGAACACGAGAGGGGAATGTTGCTATGGAGACCGTTTCCATCTCTAGCGGCAGTCGGAGTATATGTGTGTGTGTCTGTGCCAATAGCTCTCAGACTTAGTTGCTGATGCTAGCTGTAATTCAGCAGACAGAGAGAGTGCTGCAATAGAGTGAAAACCTGCTACTGCATCTGGGGGAGTGAGTGCAGTTCAATGCAGCACACAACTTCAGACAATGGAGTCCCTGTAGATGCGCTCACGTCTTCACATAAAGCTGTTGTGCCTGGTGGAAATGACTAAGCGTCATGTCTTCGTGCGTGTGTGTGTATATGTGTGCGTGTCCTCCTGTTGTTTCAATTAATTGTTACACCAGAAAGTCACATTCACAGATGAGACCAGAGGGATTCTTACAACCATGTGTTGATAATGACATGAGGTGGGGGGCAAAACTAATCATATTTGGGGAAAAAAAAGTAATAACCTTTCACAGATAAGACAAAGTCTGACCTAATTACAGCCTGGGAGAACCTCGCTGACACACCATAGTGTTGTTGCATGCACACACATACAAAAACACTGTAAGGTTTGAATTTGTAGACCTCACACATGTACAGAAATGTGTAACACTTTCACACACGCGCACACAATCATGTCTTCCCCAGTGCATCAGGCCAGACTCACTGGTGTGAATCGGCTTAGCAGTCAGCATTCTTGAGTTAAAGCCGTTTCCTCTCTTTTTGCCCTTCATACTCCATTCTTTATCTTCTACCCTCCACTCCCTCTCTCCTCTCTCCTCCCCTCATCATCAACACATTAAGTCACTGAGGAGAAACAGTAATTGATGGATGCCATTTAACAAAGTTTACACACGGATACATCCTTCAATCATCTCTGTGAATGATCAGCACTGCAGAACCAGTGGAGCTGAAACCTCGCAGCAACGTGATGGAATGCTTCCCTAAATGAGTTTTTCCTCATGCAAATGAATTCAAACGAGACAAGGCAATCTATTCAACCTCGCTGATGGAATTGTGTTAAAATGGCAGCAATTTCTTAAAATGAAATTTTCATTAAAGGGAACACATTGATTAGCAATGGGGGTCGCAGGTGGGCAGGGTCTCCTGAATGATTTCCGCCTGCGTCAGATGAGATTTTTATTATGTGATCATCAGCAGGGTCAAGATGGACTCGAATTAGAAGCAGGTCAGAGATTTGTCTGATCAAATGTGTATTTAGACACACACGCGCTCTCTCTCTCTGTCTCTCTCACACACACACAGTTTCATCAGCAGACCATAACCAGATGAAGCCCATAAATCCTGTGGCCAGCCAGGTCTGACAAAGACAGGTCAGCGCTTCTTGATGCATCAGAGGGATGCTTCAGATAACACACATCCATCACCGGCAATAATGCAGACAAGCCCGTTAGCCTGCTGCGGCAATGTTTGTATGTACAACTAAATTAAAACAGGCCTGGCACAGCTCTTATCTGTTTCTATCCACCAATGTGTTTCTCAGTCACTCTTCACTGCATGATGCAATATATAGAATTGCCAGTCAAACCAATTGGATGGAAACATAGATATGCATTGATTCTGGAATGAAAACAATGCACGAGGAGCCAGAAACACAGGAACACCAGGAGGCGAGAGGGGATACGAAATGTATTTATAGATGCCGGGGCATGGCAGATCAGTCACAGCAGAAAGGGCCACTAAAAGCGGTGATAGCGAAGGGACAAGTCTGTACGAGATCGTACAGCAAGACTCATCGGCGCAGACACAGGCAAAGCCCAAAATAGGAGAACCCTAGCCGACCTCTAGACAACACATAATCCTGTCAGGGGTGAAAAAAACAAAAGCAAAAACAAACTGCGACTTGATCTGGTGGCACTGGAGGGGTTGTGTAAGACACACAGACCCAAAAATGGTGCGCCTGCCTGGAAAGCTAGTTGCGTAAGTGGTGCGCAGTAATTTCAGGTATAAGGGAGGGACGTGAGCAACATGGTGTCGTGCAGATGCTTTGTTAGCGTTCGACGTAGAGAACAGAGGATTACAGGTCGCACTTGTGCTGAGCTGCCTGCGTCAAAGGATCAGGCTCGTGGATAATTCAAGTCCGTACTATCTTTCCCCTGCCAATCTCAGCTCTTCTATAATAATCAACAAAATGTGTCAGCCTGGATTCCCTTTATTCCAGGAACAGTAACACTCACATGCAAGTATCACAATTTGTACACATAAAGACCTTTTTTTGTGCTGAATAAGCAGCTGATAATGACTTAATTTCACACCAGCAACAATGGAGATCAATCAACATTTTGAATGAACCCTCCTACCTACCGGCCTGGTACCCAGCCATATGATTAAGGGTTTATTAGGCTTTATTAGCAGCACACAAAGCAACAGAGCACAATGCAGCTCTCTTCATCTAAAGAACACGGCTCTTTGTAAGATCTGGAGTGAACAAGCTAATTAACCTGGTTTCTCCAGGATCAGCCCCTTGAGATTGAGACAGGGTGTGCGTATTGTGTGTGTTTTTTTTTCCCCCGCATATGTATGTGTACGTACTCTATCGTGCACGTATCTTTGTGTGTGTGTGATTTTTCTGTATCCCCACACTCCGGGGAGTTAAGGGTGAAATGGGCGAGACGTGTTACTGCTTCACTTCTCACACTTCATTAACACATCGCTGTGGCACACATCTGACTACAGACACAACACCGGACAAGCAGAAAGAGAACTGAAAAGAGTGAAATCAGCTCAGTTCAGCTCCTGCCTGCACTGAGCTGAATGCCAAGAGCAGTCATTTGAAATGCTTGTTATTTGGTATTCTTTTAGAAATTGAAAATACGGAGAGGGGGGATGGTGGGGAAGCGAGGACGCTTGGAATTATAATCGACACCACAAAAACAAAAAGCTGACACTCACTCTCTGTCTGTACGTCTGCGAGGCTTTGGTGCAACTGCTTTTATCTTTCTGTTTTCAAGGCTGAAGTGAATCACAGATTAGCTGCTGCACAGACTGAAACCTTGTATTTGTGGTGACCTTATCACCGAAACATGAAGGGATCCGAGTGATGCCGCTTCCTCGACAGGACACAGGAATTAGCTATCAAAACTTACAAATGTATCCCATTATAAAGTCCAGAAAGGTCAAACTCTGCTTAGCCTTCGGGCTAGCTGTGCGCCGAATGACTCACGCACGGAACATCTATCACAGCATTAACTCATCCGCTGACCAGGAAACCATATTACAGTTGTGAAATAGGATATTTTTTGCAATCATCCTACAGTAGCAACACCACGGGTATTCTTTAATAAATTCTCATTAAATTTTCATGGTGCTGCAGACTTAATAAGAAGCTAATCAGGGGATGAAAGCAGCTGCTGAACAAGGAGTGTGACTCGCCCCAACTTCACAGCTTGCCATTAAGCTCCCACCACCCCCACACCAGCCCCATACACATAATCTTTCTTGCGCTATGTGGTGAGGCGGGGCTCGGTGTTTTGAGTGTTTCATAGTGAATAATGGATGGGACCTGAGGGTATGGTGGGCTAAGTCTTTTTTATGCCGGGGTCCTAAAGTGTGGCCCCAGGCCGTTTGCCTTGGCACAGGCAACCATGCTCGGCTCTGCTCTCGTCAGCAGCGGCAATAAAGGCTCTGAGCTCTCTGTTATGGGACTGCATCAGTATTCAGTGGGGCTCGAGAGGTCACATCACACACAAGCTTGTAGTCAGACGGATGTATAACAGCAAAGCAGAGAGCAAGAGATAGCAGGTGAGGAAGGGGGAGAAGGAGGAAGGGATTACATGTCCTACCAATAGATCTTTAGGTCATTGTTCCGGCGACTAAATTGTAAAGGACCAGAAATCAATACCAAAGCAGACGTTAGGTTAGGTCCTGCCTCACAGCAAGAAACCTATTTACATTCTTAAACCCGATGTGGTGCTATTTGACAATTTCATCCATTACCGGGAACATCTATAGGTGGAGATTATGAAAATGAGGCTGTTGTTGGAGGAGCATAACTGTCCACTGACTCAACACACATATACACGGCTACAGTGAGACACAAATGATCCATTCTATCACCATTAGCAACGTGTCATCTGCATGCGGCTGCTGCATGCAAATCAGGATGTAATGCAATTTCCCTCCTTGTAGATCATAATAACGTGTCTGGAAACTTTGCTTTAAGGTTGAGGAGACTTTGAAATCTCACACCTGGCTATGGATGACCAGCGATCACATTAGTGTGTGCTCACAGAGCCCGTGTACCCGCCCACAGACCCACCGAGGCGTGGGATTGGTGCAAGGCAAAGGTCAGCACCAGTGACATCATTAAAATGTGACATCATTAAAGTGTCCTGCTGTTGTGGGCAAGCACAGCCTGAGGGAAATCCCAACCAGCTCGCCACCACTCATCAAGAACCTGTGTGTGTGTGTGGTCTGACTGGACTGGGCCCCGATGGAACATGTGCACTTTGGGGAATTTATGAGGATAGGCGATACACCCCAAACACCAGCCTACGTGATCTTTGGCTTCAGACTGGCTTCATTGCACTTAGGAGACAAGGACCGAGGGAGCGGAAGGACACATACACTTATTTGTGATATATGAAGTGTGACGATCAGTCGTAAATAACAGCAATAAAATATAACAAAAGTAGACATCTGAAAAGCACAGATGGGCCTCAGACTAGACGGTCCTTTTCTTTAAGGAGACACCTTTTACAATCTGTGTAACCCTCATCCTGCCCCAAAGAATGAGACAGTGAAAGAGTGAGACAGGGAAGCAGGGAGAAGAAGATTCCCCCTCCTGTTTTTCATCTCAGCGCTCATATCAAACAAAGATATCCATCACACCCACTCCCACCCCCACTTCACTTCCTCTCGCTGTGAACCAGTGACTGTGTGTTTAGCGGTGACAGGGAATCATGTAAGTGCTGGAGCTGAGCAAATGATGGTGCTCTCCTGCATCCGAATGAAGAAAACACAACATTGAGGGGAAAAGAAGCAGAAAAGCACATTTAGAATGAGATTTTCTGCTTTTTGAGCCTTGACTTTGTCTCTCCTCCAGCCTGCAGTGGCATCTGTAACCTGAGCTCGTGGCAAGTGCAAGAAAGCTGTGGTGGCTCTGACCCACCCTGCAGCCATGCATACCCTCCAACAACCTCTATTCTGGTCTGCTGGTCTATTCTGTTGGTAATTTGCACGAATTTCTCATTTTATTACACCATTATGTTAAGCTTCATCGTATTTCAAATAAAAACATGTTTCATTTTGTCTGGTCGTGTTTCTTTCCAAACCTTATGGTAAGTGGGCGGTAAAAATGTGGAAAAATGAAAGGCTTCCCCAGTGCTGCAGAGACTATTTATACAACAGTGCATCAAACTGAACAATAAAAACCACGAACTGTAACTGCACTGGTTAATAAAAAGATGTCCACTTCCATAGATTGTGAAGGATTGTGTTAATCTGTGGTAAAAACATGTGTATTGATATGAAGATTTTGACATTTAGAGACAATACGCTGCATCTCACAATGCATGATGGTATTATGGCAAGTTTAATCTGTATAAAAGAGTGTGTTTGGTTCCAACTGCTGCAACGAAAAGCCCTCAGTCCCTAATGCTTTTATTATCTCAGTGATATCAGTACAGCAGCTAATGTCCATAAGCAATCTGCATAATTACTAAGTGAGGACTGATGTGGTGATGAGATAAGCAGTAGTTTTTACCTATAAATCAGTGTTTTATGGTGATTAGTGATCTAAGGAGCTTGCGGTGGACAGGTGGAGCTAATTGGTGGAACATAAGGGAAATTATGAAGCATCCACCAGCTAACAGGTTGACAATCAAAAAGGCTGATGTGTGGTCAGCGAGGAGGAAACACATGCATGCAACACGGCGGCATTTATAGCTGCAGAAAACAGCTATTGTTCAATGCTCGCTTATGAGCATGTACAGTAAAAATGTGTGTGTGTGTGTGTGTGTGAGACAGAGAGAGAGAGAGAGAGATCCATATTTCATTGTGCTGCCTCCTAGAATTAGGCCACCTTCCCTGTCCCCGTCTCGTTTTTCAACAAGTGAACACAGAAAGAGAAAAATACATTTTTCTGATCATTTTTCAACTGCATCACAGACTCACTTGTGGACTCAGCTGCCCAGGAGGCTTTATTCCCTTGCTGGCTTTAGTCCACACAGATTAAAGCTCTGATTCCCGTGATCAGGATGGTCATTCTAAAATAGCAGGTATGATGGGTAGCCACCTCATCATGACCAGTAATAACCCACAAGGTGCAGCTTCACCAGAAATGACTAGAATGTTCTTTTAATATCCACAAAGCAGCTTATAAAATGATTAAAATGAGCTTTAAATTACCTTTATGGACTTATATGTCTAAAACTACACGATATATGCTGTGATATTACAATTAACAGTCACAGTGACTTATTTTTATCTGTGATATGAGCATCCTTCTGGCTACAGCCTCAGGTTATTTGCAAAAATAAATAAAAAAAATCTTTTTTTCCTCCTCCCCTTAACATTGCCGGTTTAAATACCTTCGGTTGCATAGTTGTGGTCGCGTAGGAAGCTGTTGTTGATTTTCCGGGTGTCACTCTCCTCCTCCATTGATAAATCGGCTGGTTCGGGATCCTGAAAGCGGCAGACCTGCTCCCATCCTGCCCGGTACCGTCAGCAGGCGGGCTGTGGGACCAGCGGGGGGCCTGTCATGGCTCCAGATCTCCGGTGTAATCAACACAAAAACGCGATCAAAAATACCTGTGATGCTGATGATGATGCACGGGCAGGTCCTGTCCACACCTCATCCAACAAGCCCCGCGACGCAGTGACAGTGTCGATTCCACCAGTGGATTTAATAGCCTAATTATTATAGCGCATTAGGTCCTCTGCTTTAGATAAGTCATGGATCTCCCAGCTCAGAAAAAAAAGGTGAAAATACACTCAAAATCGCCGCAAGGAACCTGCACAGCTGGTCAAAAATGAACCGTCTTCTTAAAGGTTGGACCCGCAGCAGCAGTAACGCACTCCGTAAATCTCTTTTGGAGGATTGGAGTTTAGGCAGGCGAGATTTTCCCCCTCCCAGTGCCAGCGGGGCGGGCGGGATTATGCGTCAACAAGCTCGCTCCGATCACCTCAGCATTTCCATGTCAGCCTCTCCGGAGTTGCATCTTGCGCCTTTTTTTCCTGTGTCCAGATCCTGCAGGGTCTCGTTCATTCATTCATTCATTCACTTTATAGGAGCGGACCGGCGCCGAGCTCAGCTGACTCACTGTGCCGGTTAGCGCAGAGCTGGACTGTGGATACCCACCGTGCTGCTGCTGCTGCTGCTGCTGCGCTTCAGCAGAGGAGGGCCCCTCCCTGCTGCCTTGGCGGCTGGCTCTTTAAAAAAAAATCAGCAAATGTGACGCTCAGTCGAACCACCACCACCAGAGAAAGACTTCCGAAATCTGCTCCCTCACTGCCCGATGACAACCAACCAGGTTCGTGCCTGTAAAGCCCAAAGCTGCCTTATGGCCTGGTAGCAGGTTGCCTCTTAAGCCTGGCAGATCCTGCATCACCATCCCTCCATCCTGCTGCAGAGGCATCTATACATCACAGCAGACTGAGCAGACTACTTTCCATGCTTTTCCCTCTCTCTCTGCAGCCAGACCACATCCCAGCTGGGAGAAGACAACGGGGGCTTTATAAGATATATTATAAGAAGCGCATGACACTGCACATTTCTGCCTTGACAGAGGGCGTCAAGTTCAGATTCGGAGAAATCAGGACAGAGAGGGACACAAAGGGAGATAGAAAGAGAGGCAGGGATAGGTAGAGGAGAGATGAAGAAGATGAAAATGAAAAAAAAAAACCCAGACGCTGATTAATTAGATTAGTAAGGCCGCCGTCTGCGCCTCTTTCTGGAAAGATCTCATTTCCATGCAGAGTTTAATAACACCACACACAACTATGCCACTTCTGGACAAACCATAATCTTTGATGTGTGTGTGTGTGTGTGTGCTGCATCAGTGTGCAGTGCATCTCTGCCCTTATCTACTCACTTTACCCTAAATCTCTCTAGTTCCACAAAGGGACTGGGTATATTCCCCGCACGAGCCTCAACACACATAGCAGCAGCAATAAAGAGATTGTGGAGCCCCCTCTCCTAAATGCATTAGCTCTCTAATCCATGGGACCATTTGCACATCCAATCCTCTGCTCCTCTACTAATGGGGACCCGGCTGTGAGGGAGGTAGGGCTGCTCATTGCAAAGAAACAGGGCCTTCCAACACATGCTATTTTACACCCCATCACCCTCCAACCTCCATCTCCATCGGAATACATTACGGGGCATTATCCATGCAGGAGGATAATGAAGGCTGCTGGCGCGTCGGCGAGGGCCTTGCGATTCACATGTTTCCATATTTACAGTCCTCTGCTCCTCTAATGAAATCTGCAGAGAAATGCTGCCATGCTTGACCCTCTTAGATCTAACTGAGTGGTCAACGGTGCTTCCCATCTCTATCAATATTTAAACAGCATCCGCGAGGACAAAAGAAAACACGCAGCGTTTCTCTTCCACAAAGACTTTGGCTAAGTTACAGCTGAGTAGAGCGAAGGAAATTGAAATGGAGTCAGTGAAACAATGGGTTTAGTAGGACGAAGCCGCATGGATGAGAGGTTGGGTTTTTGTCAGATTTTGTTGGGAGGTGAGGGGGTAAATTATGAGGCGCACAGATGAAGGGCAAGAGTGGCGGTTAAAGGCACAGAGATATTTGACTGTATAATGAAGGAATAAGTGGATAATGCCGCTCGGAGCCAAAGCCTGGGATCAATGCTGCCTCTCTAATATCATCCACCATCTCCCTCCTTGCTTCTCTCATTCCCTCTACATATATAACCCCCCATTTCATTTCCTCTCTCCCATTTGCCCCCTTGTAGTCTTCGAAATGTGATCTCACGTGACTCAACGAGTGATCACAGGTCGATGCACTTGTACTCTCGGTGCTTTTACTCACAAAACCTTGAGTTTCTGCACCCTACGGCTCATTTAACGTTGCCCTCCTCCACTGAACCTCCAGCTACTTGCTCTCCTCTGCTAGCTCACTTCTCCCGCTCATTACACCCCATCTCCCACTCGGCTGGCTAAGAGACCAGTGACGGCACGTCTACAGCCCAGCTGCTGTGTGTCAGGCTTGCAGGAAATGCTCGGGGGGCCACCAGAATTGGAGAGCGTGTCCTCAATTCTCCTCGATCGTATGGACAAAGTGGGTTAAATTAGGCTCGAGCAGCACCAAACATAGGGACACAATCACATGGCCATGATATTTTAGTCATGGCCAATTGCTTTCCTTGATGTGTGGTAATTGCTTGACCTGGGGATGCCGGTGTAGGGCTACAGGCGGCAACAACGCTGTCTGCATACCAAGCAACACATACATGCACACACACGTACACAAGCTTTCACGTATAGATATTTAACTGCACAGCGGCTGTGCAGCACTGTTATACTTCTACACCTTCCCTGCAATTACCTCATATCTCAAGAATGCAGTCAATAGTGTATTGATCACTGGATAATGTCTGGTTTAAATAGGCTAAGATATTGACTAGTTTCATCCAGTTAATCCAACAAATATGAAGTTATGGTAAATAAATCCAAAATCTATTTAAGTCCCATATTGTTAATCGTATTTTGAGATAAATAGATATAAATAATATAACAACTAGAGCTGAAATTGTGGAATAATCTATATTAGCCAAGTAGAGTTGACAATTATTTGATTGTAAATGGTTTTCTGTCAAAACAGACTTTAATATCCTACATGTAATAAATGGAAAATGAATGAAATGACAGGACTGAATAACCAGTTGTATCAAATATGCTAGGTATGCCACCGTGATCGATTGTCTAAAGACATCTGCGCTGCAATGTGGGAATTTCACATAAAAGTTCGTTTTATAGTGTTTGTGGGTGATAGAGGAAATCTATTTAGTACCCATAACTAGGTACAGTATATTACCTCCATGTGATGTTTTGCGTACTGTATGTGCTGTTTATGGATACAATAACGAGAGTCAAATGTCTGTTTTTGGCTCATCCACTGAATGAAGTGCCTGATGAGTAACAGCACATCATCACTGATGCCAGAATCATAAAGGAAGACAAAGAGCCTACAGTCACGCTAGCAGCTCTGTGAGGCACGACTCAGGCATGAAGGTGCCTTGAACTAAACGCTATCATGTTCACAGTGAAAATGCTTAACATGCTGATGCAGGTATGATGCGGTTTAACATTTTATTTTAGTGTCTTAAAGACCCCCTCCAGTGCCAAAAAAATCAAGCTTTTTACCTTGTCAACATGTCTATAGGGGTGTTTTTATGTTTACTATAAGACACACCATGAGTAAAATAAGAAGACAGCAACATGTCGGAGCATTTCCAATTAAAACTGACAGTCTCAAAAACACAGATTCAAACTTCTGAGGTTTCATACAAAGCAAAGCCAGAGAACCAATCTTGTAAACCTATTAAGTGGGACTTTCTGTATCATTATTCTTCTTCAGAATCCAAATCTAGGTCAGACATATACAGCTTGCCATTGTGTAGGGTTGAGTAGTCTACAGTGTTTAAGCAGAATCATAGGTGAGCTAGTGTGCCTGAGGGAGGCGGGGGCTTCATAGATCTGCACTTCTGGAGGAAGCATCAGTGAAGAGTTACATCAAACCAATTCTAAAGGGTCATTTTCATAAAAAAAAAAGAAACTTCTAAATATGTAACGTTCATACACAGAGGTGTTTTTTTTAGGAGGTTAATCAACAACAGAAGAGAGACTTTAACATGACAATATATTTGAATTCATTGTACACAACACAAAGTACATAAAAGGGTGATGGGATTACTTTTGCAGGCTTAGTGTGGTACGCACTGAACAACTTGAAATGTGGATTGTTGCTTGATAAAAGATAACAGATTAAAAAGTTATCAGAATTAGCCCTTAGGGGAACATAAAAGTCTGTGCCAAATTTCATGGAAAATCTTTACGAACTGTTGTGACATCTCACATGTGAAGCTTCTGGTTTCACAAGAAGAAAATTCTTGAAATCTTCTAGTCATCAGGGCCCAAAATAGGAAACAGAAACTTCGTTTCCCTATAACACCAAATGTTGTCCCAATCCATCAAACAGATTTGAAATATTTCATAGACGTCAAAATGCCCTCTCTAAATGTCAGCGTATTACCAAAGTCAGTATGATTGATCCACTGGGCACCATGATGGTCAACTGACAGACCAATATTGACCAACATTGCCATACCCCCTGCCAGCGAGGCTGAAAATCCAATGTTACCATAATTGCTAATTGATTCACAGCATTACCCACAATGGTTCTATACAGCCACAGAAATTAAATGAATAAGTGCCACAAGAGCTCTGATGGTAGACAAATCCATAATGCCTCAAATTATACATTCATGGCAACCAACTCTATGCCAGTGTGTTGAAACTACAGAATATTTTCACTTAACAAAACTGTGGTTTCAGGAACAGTGTACGTATAGTCATGAACTGGGCACATCATAATGTTGTTACCAAGTATAAAAATATCACAAATTAGGAATAACTTTATGCTCTCTATGAAATAAAGTATGTTATTATGAGCTATAGGTTTGACAGAAGTGTGAAAACATACAAGCACAGTTTAAAAAGCCACTTTCTTTCTCTTTGCTGTAGAAAGGTGAAGCTGCTATTTGTAATACATACAGTAAAGCCTGT